ATCAATTACCTAGAATTGAAAAATCTACTAAGTTCCTACTTGGTTTAATAGTTATTAAGCAAAGTTAAATAAAATCCAACTGAGATAATTTGTCATTATATACTTTAAATAACTATCAACAAAATTGCACTAATTCCTATATAAAAAGGAAAATATCAGTTTAGATTGACAGACTCCTTGCAAAATAAATGTGTTTGTGTGAAGTAAACTACTCAAGTGCTCACCTGAGAATGAGGTAATGATCCTTAGTGATCTGAATTCACACTTGAATCCAGAGCGTCTTCAGAGACTGATAGTCAGTGATAAACAGTGAGAGTAGGTGACAGTTTAGCAGCCATAAAATCAAATAATCTTCACCTTCCTACTTTGAAATGAATTTTTATTTGAAGAGGTAAGATTTGGAGTTTGAAATATCATTTATCGATTACATATTAATTTTTGCTTAAAATACTTTTGTGGCTCAAATCCAGAGTAATGAAGTAATTGTGCTAAGCTTTGCTTACATATTAACTGTAAATGTTTAAAAAAAAAAATTTGTTGATAAATCTTGTTTATTGATACGACCTTTTGCCTTTTCAGAATACTTTATTTGAAAATGTACCTGAATTTATAAGCTATAGTTGATAAACAAGTCAGGTGGAATCCAGTAATCAAGTAAACAAAAAACTTCATCTAAAATCAACTTGTGTTTCCATACTAAAATTCCTATGAGTATTCAGGCATAACTCAGGTTTCAAGAGTCCTTTTTTACACATTCACTGATTAAAACCAGAACCCAGCATGGTCTTCAGCTATACATAAACTTATCACTTGGCCCAATGAATTTACTGACTATGATAGCCTACTTTCAGTAATATCTTGTGGAAACACCTGCTCTGTTTATTGACTAAATTCTCTAGCATTATAGACATCCGATATTTTGGACAATTACAGGATATAATGTTAAAAATCTTGAGTGAAGAGAGTAAATGCAGACCCTACATGAATGGGTCTGGGTATACTTCTTAATTTTGGGGGTTGAATATTTACTCATCAGTGACCTGTGCTGAAAAATCACATAGTTTAATTCCATCACTTTCTAGTTAGAAAATGTTGTTATGTTAGGAAAGGTTTTGGAGTGTCTATTTAAGCAAGCTTGAATAATACTGTTCTAAACATAATACACATTTTACATTGTAATTATATTGGTATTTCAAATGATTTGATAAATCAGTGGCATAATAAGTAGTACTTGCAAGATGAAACAAATTTACAATAGACAAATCTATTTGTAATTTACTGCAAAAAACTTTCTAATTCTCAGTTATAGTAAGAAAATTTATTTGGTTGTTTTAATATTTTGTTATTTTAATTATACGTGTATTAGTGCATTGCCTGTATTTCTATAATTCCAGCCATGTCACGCAATGCCAATGGAGGTCAGAATTGTCAGATTCCCCTGGAACTGGACTTAAAGATGGTTGGTAGCCATCATGTGGCTGTTGGATATCAAACCAGATCCTCTGCAAGAGCAGTCAATATTTTTTACTGCTGAGCCATCTCTCTAGCCCCCTTATTTATATTTTTAAAATTGATTACAATATTGTCTTGCTTAACTAATATACTACATGAGCTATGTCACTAATGAAGCTCTGGTTTATGTACTAACCACCAGGAAGTTGAAATGCTACAGGCTCTTCCAAGTTTCTATATGCTTTAAACTTTGTTGAGACTCTCATAAGTAACCTAGTCACTAAAGGATGAGATTGACTTCAGTCCCCAGACATTCATGTCCTACTCCACTACTGATATATCCTTTGTTACTCCACATTGCCAAGTTACTTTTTCTCAATAAACTGGAAATAATAATAGTACTTAATATAATTTTATGGAAATTAAAGAAGTATGTATTTATAATTTTAAAACTTGTGTCAGTGTTTTAGTGAACATGAAATAAAGGCAAACAATTAATAGTGTGTTATTACATAATTTTATGTGTCTACATTTTAAACTTCAGTGGCACTTAAATAAATATTTTGTTATTTACACAAGTCTCACATTTTAAAATCTTTAGCTATAAAACTATATTCGTATATTTTATTGTATATAAATTTATAGACAAGAAATACAAAAAA